GAACAGTTTTTTTATCCCGATGTGTTTCAGTCCCGAGGTGAACTGATTCACATTTGGGTTTGTATTGCAGCCCAGCATTTGTCTTATTGCCCCAAAAATGTTCTCCAGTGGGTCTTGCTGCAGGCGTCGAGTAAGTAAGAATTTAAAGTCATAGCTGTTTGAAAGCTCATCCCAGAGCATGAGGACACTCCTTATTGTAACTTGCCACCCTATGGTGGTTTGTGGCTGCCTCCTACTTTGGAACTTCCATGTTGAAATCCATGCGAGTTGTTGGTGAAGGAAATCGAGTATCTCAGATTCTCCTTTCAAAATTGCATGACGCAACTTCTGCCCCGTCTTCTTGAATTGCGAGCTATTTAAACAATCAAAAAGTCTGTCCATTCTATCACAAAAATAGGCTGTAGCCATGGCTGCCTCAGGAAGCTCCTTGGCATAAACAAGGGATAGAATGGCAAGACAGACTGAGGCACTCAGGACCTGTGTGGCACGCTTTACTTTCATGTTACTGAAAGGTTTTTGAAAAATGTGCCTCTCAGTAAGTTTTGGAGCCAATCGCAACCTCATCTCATGAGTAGAACGATAAAGTTCAACAATATGGGACCATTCAATGACCTCATCCCCAATGCAAAGTTTGTGGGCTTGGAGATTGTTTCTTGTAGTTTTGATGAGGTGCGGAACATCAAAGATAAAGTAAACACGTTCGTTGTCGACTTCAAAAAATGGCTTATCAGCAGATACACCAAGTTGGTTGGCTAAGCTTACGTTTGAAGCCCCCTGATCACAGACCACGGCCTTCACAGTGAAGTCAACAGTCTTAAACTCTCGAATGAGAGAAATCAGGAGGCTCCGGATAACAGAAGACGGTGTTGAAGTGTGCCCAACAGTGTATGCGAGGGGCTGAACCCACCTCCTGGAAATTCCAGAGAGCACAACAACCAGGGCTCTATCTGCAATAGTCGAGGTTCGTTCAACACCGTCATCTGTAAATCCATGGATAATGTCGTGTGCAGGGTCGTATGTCAAGTTCTTCTTCAAAACAATCTCATCAAAAATCAAGGTGCAGACACGATCACGTGCATTCCAAGACCGCGTTTGAGATTCGATGGAGGACATGACACCAGGTATAATACCAGGAGTCATTTTTACGTTCGACAGCCACCTACGCAGTGAACGCTGAGTGGGAAGCGTTAAATGTAACGATAGAAAACGGTATGCCTGTGGGCCATGAAAGTTCAGATGCAAAGCAAACTTCTTGAGCCACAGTGGAAACCGTTTTCCTCGTCCCTTGCGCCCTAATTTTACATGTGACGAGATAAGTCCGAAAACCTCGTCTGTCACAAACGGACGCACCATTTCAAGTGCTTCGGCAGCTGTTTGAGGCATTTGCTTCTGTTGCTTGCGCAGTCTTGATATTGTCTTTCTGTAACTGGAAACCTTTGCTTGTAGGCGTTTTATGACGTCCCTGGGCCTCCTTGAGAGCTTGGCGGAAGCAGGTGTTGAACGACCAGAGCCTGCCAAAACAATACCGAAAGCACATAAGTCAGGCTACACAAAAATGATAAAAGTAGAACCCGACAGAAACGATACCGCCAAATACCGACCACTTACCCATGCTGCAATATGTGCCCCCTTCCCCCCCCCGCCACTTTCGAAACGTTTGCGAAATAAACAAAGCACGTATCAATGTCCAACTCCAGACTTAAAAACCCACCCACCTAACATAAATGCTCATCCGCTTCAGCTGCTTCTCCAAGCACACCAATGTAAAAGGTGAAGCTCGACACGTGCACGGGCCTCCAAAGTGGTGACCCCCCTTCCCCCCAACCTTTGGCTGTTCTGCAATTTTGCTTTCGGGCATAAGAAGCATACATCTCTGCGTTTTTCATGATTATCTCCAAATTGTGAGTGGGCATTTGCTCCGCATGTTCTGTTACCACTGTTTATACACAAATGGCTGCTATCAGAAAAAAAAAATTAAACTAGCTTTTAGTCTTTCAGCTGCAATAATTTCACCACAAAAACTGTATTAACATAAATTGATGAATCTTTCAAATATTGAATAATCGCGTAGTCAATCACTACATTCAACAGGGTCATCCAAAATGAGAACTGTATGTAACAGGATTGGCAAATTACTACAGTAAGCACAGATTACTAGGAAACCACCCCTTTTCAGAGCATTTCACGGTGCCACACTTCAAAGCTTATGTTCCCCGTCACCTAGAGCCCTGTAGTGATGTTCCAAGTTATTAAGGCCAGCACAAAAATGAAGTGACAAATAATGTCACCTAATTTGAAGCAATGTGCATACTAAATGCAGAGGTACTTAACACAATTTTGCAGTGCTTAAATCTGTAGAGAAGTCAATTTATACTCACAGGTTCCAGATGATTCAGAATAGCCAACAGACGAAGATGGAGTGCTGTGGTCCAAAAGCTGGCCAGGAGAGCTGGCCATCCCCATTTGCTCTGGAAAATGTGTCACTGTTAAATACGAATGTTTGCATAAACCCAATTTGTGTAGGAGATTTATTTTACCACAGGCCGCTATGGAATGTGACGCGCTGGTACCCTCCAGTGAAATACCACAGGGGCTTGTCGCCATCGGTTCTGAAAAACGGTTGCTTGTCAGATATGAGCAGCTGTTTTAAAAGAAATGATCTCACCATGAGCAGCTGCCGAAGGTGACGTTCCACTGCCTTCCATTCGAACATCCCCGGGGCTTGGTTCCGCCATCGGCTTTTCTAAAAAGGGCTTCCTTGTCAGATATGAGCCGCTCGTTTAAAATAAATAATCTCACCAGAAGCTGCTGTGGGTTGCGACGTTCTGCTTCCCTCCAATGGAACGTCACAGGGACATGTCGCCACCGGTTCTTCTGACAAATGTTTGGTTGTCAGCTATGAGCAGCTGTTTTAAAAGAAATGATCTCACCATGAACAGCTGCCAAAGGTGACGTTCCACTGCTTTCCATTGGAACATTCCCTGGGCTTGGTGCCGCCATCGGCCCTTCTGAACGACATTTGCTTGTCAGGTATGAGCCCCTGTTTTAAAAATAAATGATCTCACCACGAGCAGCTGTTGAAGGTGACATTCCACTGCCCTCCAAGGGAACATTACCGGGGCTTGGTGCCGCCAGCGGTTGTTCTGAAAAACGGTTGCTTGTCAGATATGAGCAGCTGTTTTAAAAGAAATGATCTCACCATGAGCAGCTGCCAAAGTTGACGTTCCACTGCCCTCCAATCGAACATCCCTGGGGCTTGGTTCCGCCATCGGCTTTTCTGAAAAGGGCTTCCTTGTCAGATATGAGCCGCTCATTTAAAATAAATAATCTCACCAGAAGCTGCTGTGGGATGCGACGTTCTGCTTCCCTCCAATGGAACGTCACAGGGACATGTCGCCGCCGGTTCTTCTGACAAATGTTTGGTTGTCAGCTATGAGCAGCTGTTTTAAAAGAAATGATCTCACCATGAACAGCTGCCAAGGGTGACGTTCCGCTGCTTTCCATTGGAACATTCCCTGGGCTTGGTGCCGCCATCGGCCCTTCTGAACGACATTTGCTTGTCAGGTATGAGCCCCTGTTTTAAAATAAATGATCTCACCACGAGCAGCTGTTGAAGGTGACATTCCACTGCCCTCCAAGGGAACATTACCGGGGCTTGGTGCCGCCAGCGGTTGTTCTGAAAAACGGTTGCTTGTCAGATATGAGCAGCAGTTTTAAAAGAAATGATCTCACTATGAGCAGCTGCCAAAGGTGACGTTCCACTACCCTCCAATGGAACATTCCCGGGGCTTGGTGCCACCATCGGTCCTTCTGAAAGATGTTTGCTTGTCAGGTATGAGCCCCTGTTTTAAAATAAATGATCTCACCATGAGCAGCTGTTGAAGGCGACGTTCTGCTGCCCTCCAATCGAACATCCCCGGGGCTTGGTTCCGCTATTGGCTTTTCTGAAAAGGGCTTCCTTGTCAGATATGAGCCGCCAATTAAAAATAAATAATCTCACCATAAGCTGCTCTGGGATGCGACATTCTGTTTCCCTCCAATGGAACGTCACAGGGGCATGTTGTTGCCACCGGTTCTTCTGAAAAATTTTGGCTTCTCAGATATGAATACCTGCTTATAAAGCTTCTGATGGAGAATTCCTGCTACAGGCGAATGATAGGTTAGTAGTGTTACCTTTCAAAGGAACAGAAAATATTCAGCACTCTGAAAGGGCATTGAAATCCCTTAGTGATGAAAATTAATGTTGAGCAATATTAATCAATGGCGAAACACAGGATCCGGCGGGTCTTGAAAAGGCACTTAGGAATCTCGGAATATCTTAAATTTTAATGGCCCGGTATGCTAATTTATGAGAATATAACAGCATGGGCAACTAAAGCTAACCTTGTAAACATGAGTGTCAGGAAGATGACTCAGACGGCATGAGTCCTCTTGTCGAATTGGATATGAACAGGGGAACGTTGACCTGCCTTATCTTTCATTTATATCACTATTGTATGCTACAAACCTAGGATGCCCTGTAAGAAGTCATACTGCACTGGCAGAACTGCCCTTCTTGATTGCAGGACACAAATTACTGTATTTCAATGCAGCTGACCTTGTGCTTTAAAACAATTTTCCAACAAACTGGGACGGATATTGGTTATGGGCAACAGTATGCGCAGGGACATTACAGGGATAATGTACAAAAATGCTAAATGAATTAGATAAAATATTTAAGCACAAACTAATAATAAAAACTAATTAAGTCAGATTAAAACTTTTGAGACTGTCAAGCATCGTTGACAGCATGCTGGCAGCTGGCATCAGTGACGTAGAGTTGGTGCTGCCTAAAAGCAAAATATAACAGAACTCCGTACAGACTGCAAATAAAGATTATGTTACCTTGGGCTGTTACAGATGGCCTAAGCATTTGCGGCCGAACCGTAGGGATAGCCGTTTTGGTCAGCCTTGTCTTCCCAGGATCCAAAAAGTCCTTGGCTGTGAAATGCTCACTACTCAGGCGATACCCCTCATAGAGCTCCTTGGCTGTCTTTCCTAGGAGCTCAGGACGTCTGGCGTACTGTAGCCATGCTTTTGACCTGCAGAACATTGTATATACCACCAAGGTTACACATACTGTAAGGGTCAAATAAACTCCAAATATATGAGCCTCAATTGTTTTTAATGTTTCACTGCCGTTTGGTATGGCACCTCTCAGCAAAGTGTTCACGTTCTGAAGAGTTTGTTTTTCTTCTTCATGCTACTGTACAGTGCAATACAGCTAAACAAACAGATTGCATACCCACCAGGGTATGCAATCAATTTAGGCCCGAGGCAAGATAACCTTAAAATGCTGAAAGATATTGGTGTCCATAAACCAAAGTGACATGGAAGAAATCGTTTTTGCTATAGTTTGTTGCAACCTAAGACCGAAGGGCGAGGGTAAGACGGGCCGCGGAGGAGGGAGCAGACGGAACGCTGGAGAAGAAAGGGGAAACCTCCTTCTCTCCTTAGCGTTTCGTGTTCCGTCTGCTTCCTCCTCCCCGGCCCGTCTTACCCTCGCCCTTCGTTCTTAGGTTGCAACGGACCATAGTTCTCATTTCAAAATGTTATGCTTCGATCAAATGTTGTAAGGACTGCCTTAGAATCTATACGTACCTTGGGTCACGTGGAATTCGAAAAAACTTGACATGTGGCTTCTTTGTTTTCCCATTGTTGGCACACCAGACCACGCAGCAGTAACTTCCGTAGGACATAATCTGGGCCAGCGGGGGAGGGAGAGTTTAACATCTACTGAAGCCTAGCCAATGGCGCGTTCCTTTAGTTCAACGGAAGGTAGCACAATAGCGGCTGGTGAAAAAATAAACTGATGGAGATTTAAACAATGTCACAAGATATTACCATGACGCAATGTTACAATAAACCCATGACACGTATTAACACAGACGGGTGAAAGAAATATTGTGAAGTTTGTGAAGTTTACGCAATCTTCATGCATCATAATCGAACGCAGTGTCTAGAGTGCCATGCCACAGCACTCCAACCAAGTGTTCAAGTGACGTCTGACTGGTTTTACCCAACGTTCGAATGTCATCCTTAAGAGTAAAACAGGAATTTAAGCAGGGTACAGCGGTACGGCCAAAATAAGTAAGACTAATCTACCTCTACTGTTTCTGGTAAATTGGCCGTCAATATTTTGAATTTTGCTTTCTTACATAGAAAATAATGTCAGCGAACCATAGACCTAAATTTCGAGCTCCATTTGGTGATGTAGCGATGTAGTGGGAACCATGTTTGAATAGTCCTCCGTACATTCTCAGAGTGTCCGAAAGTTCCATGGATGTCCTATCCTGGATGTCCCGTGGACGTCCATAGGATATATATGCTGCTTGGGAACTTTATTAAATATCTAAATTTGATACTGCGTCTCGCAGTTTTTTCCCCCGAAATTCTATGCATGTGTTTGTCGTCGTAACTGCAGCATACTGCAGCTCGTATGGCGGTACACACAAGTTATGTAGCTCGCTTGAGCGACGTTCGCTGGTTCGCTTCTTTTGCACGTACTTTATGTGATAAATCAAAGCAGCGACGCGCCATTGAAAGAATGCATGTCAAAATATCAATATGACTCAATGGACACCTTGCCCCGAATTCGTCGCACTGCGAACGACTGGCGACCCAGCTTTAGTCAGTGAATTAACTTCAATCTATGACGGCATAAGTCCTCTCAACAGCCATCCACAGATGTCTGATGGCACTTGAACACGCATGAACAAAGCTCTGCCCGAGGGGCGTCGGACGGCAACCCAGACTCAGCAAATTCAAAAGCCAGCTTTACAACACAGTCGAGAGACAAATGAGCAAAACGACTTACCTTTTGTTTAAAAATCTAGGTCCAGGCAGCCCGACGGCAACACGAGAAGCTCAAGCCATATCAAGCCGCTCAGCTCTACAAACTCACGCCGAGCATGAGAGCACGCGGCGGTCATTCGTCACTTTGTTTCAAGCAAAGTCGACCGAACACGCTGTAGCATAAAACGGAGAAGAACGGCACGGACGGCACGGACGGTACGGCACGGACGGTACGGCACGGACGAACGAAGCACGGACCGCACGGACGAGCAGAGGTGACGGCGTGCAAGCAGACAGGCCATGGCAGGCGCCATTCATCACGTGGTTTTTGTGACGTATTTGATTAACACTATTTAGTCGTTTTAAGTACTTTAAAAAACTCTAAAGCATAAAAATTTAGAAAATAAATACTTTTCAGAGAGAAAGCTGTAATTAATATTAACCAAATTACGGAAAAGCGCCACGTAGCGGAGGGTATGAATCCTACTATCTGGGCCGCGAATCGGCTTCAGTGTCCTCTCTTTACGTTTACTATATTACTCTATGGGCAAACGGCCCGTTGCTCGTATCGTGGGCCGTGACTCGTACTCGGCCAACTCGGCGTCTTTTCGTGGCCCCTCGCGTCGTCGCTACCAGCCGCAAACCCGGCGTCGGAGAAAAGCGAAACCGAAACGTAAAGCTTCCGCCCAGTGGCTTCCGCTGTCGCGCCTTTTCTGACTTCCCGGCTTCCACGCTTCCGGTCGTCGCGGAGATGGCGACGTAGTGGTTTTGGCGGTTTTGGCATCGCTGGCTCGTTCTGCGTTTTGGGGGACAGATGTTTTACGGTCCGTTTCTACTGCGTCTCTGGCTCTCAACTCGACGGCGCCTCTCATAGTTCAACCAGGCGTGGTCAACCTGTGTCAGGCCGGCTCGACTCGTCCGATCGCCGGACCGCAGGCGACTTCCCAGTTCGGCCGTGAGGCCTAGGATCCGAAGACGTCTGTCTCCGTGAAGCGGTAAGCGAATCTCGTCCCGTTTTCGTTCTACTTTTAAATTACGTTAGGTGCGCTACAGTGTAAGCATGCGTGCCAAGTGTTCGTAACAATTTTGAACTAGAATAATTGTGCTTCATTGCGGTTTGTCATTTACGGAAAATATAAATCGAGCAATGAACGAGGAGCCATGCTTGAAAACGATGCATGTACGATGTTAACTTCTACCTCGGCGGCTTTAAAAAAAAGTCAAGACTGGTTACGGTTGGATGCGAGGCTGGTCCCAATGCAATGGTAAGCACTTAGAGCGCCTTTCTGAACGGCATGTAAGCAATATAGCGATCAACGAGACGAGCGACGGCGAGAAGCTACGAGTGCCGGCGCCGAGCGCCGAAGATTTCTCACTCTCGCTGCTTGCGCCGCTCAATTCTTGGGCTTCTAGAAAACGTCGCTCATCGCCTCGGTCGCTCGCACCAATCGCTTTCATAATGTGTGTCTCGTCGCGCGGCTGACTGCCGTGTTTATTCAAATATAAGTCGACCTTTTCTTTTTTTTTTTTTTTCTTCTTCTTTTTTTTTTTCTTCTCGGAAATTGTTACTAAAGAATTTCGACACCTACATTCGCGACCAAATTTTGCGACCCTACCGGAGGCATGAAGCTATCGAGTCACCGAGCCGGCGTTGCCGTAGAGCCGCGCCGCTTCTTGTTTCAAAAAGCTTTTGGTTGCCGAAATGGCTCGCCGCCCGCGGTGGCCGGTCGGGCGTCGCATTTCGACATTGCGCCTCTAGCGTTCCCCTTGCTGGGCAACGGGTAAGGAGAGTAACGCGATGCGCCATGCACTTTACCCTCCATCCTCGCAAACGCGCACAAAAAAAAAAAAATGTTATTTTTGTTAGTTGCTTGAGGCGGCTCGGCTCGCGTGTTGCTCATGGCGACACGGCGGCTTTGCTTGCGTCTTTGTAGTTTGTCTTCCGTCGCTTCGCACCTTCTTTCGTTTCCTGTCGTCATTTTACAACGGTGTCAGTGAAGTATTGCTGCGAATTTGCGAGGATGTCTACCCAGCTGACGAAGCTTGGGACGATGATAACATGTCCAGAAGTTCTGACGGTGATGAAGTTTTTGGCATCGCCCCGTGATTTAGCTGAGAGTGATGTAAATAAAGGTTTTTTTCTTTCTTTTGCCCAAAATTTCCCGTTCTTAAAAAAAAAAAAAAAAAAGATCGACCTATATTTGATTTTTTTTTTTTTTTTTGTTCTTGGTGGATCCAATAAATAGGGTTCGACCTATTTTCGAGTAAATACGGTAACTTTAATTTTTATTTTGGGTTACGTCGGACGCAACTCGAATGCTTGACAGTTACGTTGGGCGTAACTTTAATTTTTATTTCGGGTTCCGTCGGACGTAACGTTAGACACTCCGTTACACTTAAGGAAAATAGGGGCTGCTGGTTCATCATATAAAGTTATAAACCAACCATTTGTGTTTAATTAAAATGCATCACTGACCTCAAAAAAAAAAAATACTGCTATTCTAGAGTTTATGCTATAGGAATGTAGCACTTCAGATAAATTTGTTTATTTATACTTTTAGTCCCTGCCCCACCAGATAAAACATCTGGCCTAAAGCAGTGTTCCGGATCTCCTTCCAAGACATCAGGCGGGTCGTCATTCAATCCAGGAGTCGGCGGCGTCTCATGGGCGTGTTGCTGGTGCTTACTGGATGGTGCTACCGAGGGAAAAGTGGTCATGCTTGGGAAAGGCAAGTATGGCCGCCGTAAGTATACATATTGTTTTTACCTTTGCTCGAATCCGTTTTTAAGAAATGCACAGTTTGCATGTGTGCATCTCTCAATGTTTCCACAGTCGGCTGTTTTTTGTGGAGTGCTCCAACTGTGTCAGCGCTAGTTTCTCTAGATCATGCAAATGGGATGCAACAATAAACCACATATGCTCTCGCAACAAACAGCGCTGTGCCGAAGCACTGTGGAATCTACTCTAGCTTTATGATGCAGCACAAAATAGTTGATGCCAATTATAGCTACTTTTGTGACTCCGTTTTACCAAAAGCTCTGCCGAAACAAACTTGCCGCCTTATAGGTAGTGCAAAAGAACCTCGCGTGCCTAACCTGGAGAAGGGCATTTTTTTTCATAGGTCAATTTTTCCTTAAACCAATACCTTCAGCCTCCTTGAAATGTTAACATTATGTGACACACGGAAGAACAGTAAACTCTTTAATGTTGGCAAACCTTTAATTTTCGCGGCCTTTGATTTTGCAGAATTCAGTGGCTGTGATTATGTCCTCTGTGACCGATTCGAGAAGAAATAGGGGCCACGAAGATAAGGGGGTTTTACTGTACATCGGAGGAAAGAGGAAGTCACTTATGTTTGTATGCAGGAGTAAAACCAACAACAACAATCATGGTGTAGACACTTTTTAAGCCTATCTGTGTCTATTGAATGATATCAATTTTGTTTTAGTTCGTTAAACATTGTTGCCTGTACATTGTGGGATGTCGTCTTCAACACGAGCAGTGGTTTTCTTCTCAAGCAGGCAGCATGGACGCGTGCCGCAGCACAACATAGTTCATTTGCAGGTGGTACCGCAGGTTGAAGGATGGTTGGCACAATATGGGGGAATCACAATTCAATGTTCTACCTCGGGCGTAGACAAGATTTGCTTATTCTAAATCATTTTGTCTAAAAATCTGGGATTTGCGATGAATGTACCCGCATGGTTGGAAGGGCCAGACAAGCCTTGTGAGCGCTTCATTTTCTAGCGTCTCAGTCCTGAACTCACTCACGCACCACATGTGTAGATGTTCCGATAGGTGGGAGCACTTATTTGGAAAATGGTGAATGGCAACTGTTATCTTTATCAGACTTCTGTATTATGGTCAAAGTTGGACTGCATATTTGCAATACTTTTTCTCACTTAAAATCATGTCATACTAAAATATGTAGAATAGCCGATGACAAAAAGAGAATGGCTGGGCGTCCTCCAGCACGTGCTTGTGCTTTTCACCCCACTTTGGACAGATGTGCTTGCTCCAGGCTCATGAGGCGCTGAAACGTCATCGAAGGTAGCAGACGGGCTGGTGGTGGAACAACGGAGACTTCTCCCTGCCTTTCTCATGCTATCAGTGAGCGTGTACCTCTATACTCTAACTTGGCTTAACCTGCACAGAGCTGAGGAGAGTAGGCTTGGCGAGTGCCCTTACTGCATATGCATTTGTACAGCTGAGGCACTTTCTGAATCAAGAATATTGTGTACCTTAGCTTCATAAACACATCATTTTGGGGGTGCAAAAGGAATTCTAAGGCATATTTTTGTTTGTATTGTCCTATTACGCATCGCAGGCACGTAGCCAGGGGGAGGCCCATGGGGCCCGGGCCCGGGCCCCCCCTTCCCCCTCCCCCTCCGAAATCTTCCATTTTGCATGTGTCCTCCTCTCCCCCCTTCTCCTCATACAGCATTTTGTCATGAGTGGGCCCCCTCTGAAACAAAATCCTGGCTACGTGCCTGACGCATGGACTCCTTCAACTTAATGCGGAGTCGACCCACCCTGTTGAAAAATTTAATGCCTGCCAGGTAATTGTTTTGCATTTAGTTAATATATCAGTATTCAGTTGGGTATCCCAAGTCATTAGTCGTTGAGATGCAGTCTCTCTGTAAGTCAGTCATGTTTAACATTCATAAAACTGCTTGTCAAATAATGGCACTGTCGAGGACATGTACTCGGCTCGAGCAATCGCTGTGCACAAGCTGGTCGTGTGGATACAGGCAGCAAACATCCCGGTTGAAACGTCCTTCCTCGCAATGTAGCTCAAGACTAGGTCAGGGCCCCACTCACAAACGTCTATACTTTGCATCTCTTTAAGCTGGACCACTTTTGACACTACAAGCCATTGCAGCGAAAACAGTGTGACACATGATTGTAAGCTCGACGTACCATGGCATCCAACTAGAAGGTCACATGGCTTGCAGCTTCTGCCGTGGTTAACTTTAAACTGAGATAGTTTGGAATAATGCTCTCGGTTTTTAGTGTTGCCCGGCACGGTTAACAATTTGGTGATATAGTGCTGCATTG